TAGCCACATTTAATGCCCGCACACTGTTAAATCGGTCAACAAGTTGTCAAAGCTAGAACCCCTGGAAATTTCAATTTGGACGCATTTTGTGTCTCCGAAACACGTATACAAGACCCTACGTCAACCATCACCTTGCGATCTCCAGATCTGACCTAATCCTCACGCTTCACTCTCCGTGTTTCCGGCGATTCGGCATCCAAAGCTCGCGATGTTGCTAGCGTCGGGATTGCGCTAAGTGTCAAGACCGAGCACCCACTGCTGGGCTGATTTCCGCTTAGTATCCGACTGTGCGCTGTACGTCTCGATGAAAACTTTATGTTGTGAATCGGTCATCTTACCGATTTACAAGAAAGGCGACGGATCCTCTCGTGTAAACCATAGAGGAAATAGTTTGATCAACATCACCTCTAAACTCTGTCGATTGTCTGCCGTACGTGGACAGTACACGCGTCGAGGTTTTGTAGATTACATTTTCACCCTTCGGCAAAGTACCAAACACACTCCTTTCGTAGACCCACCATTTGTATCTTCCTCGATTTCAGAGTGGCTTTCGACTCGTCGACTAGTCCATACTCTGACATTGCCTCTCTTTGAAGGATGTGCCCGAGAATTTCAGTTCACTATTAAAATCCCTTCATACTTATAGCCGAAGCCGGTTCTGAGGTCACTACGAAAAGTGGTGTTCGTCAGGGTTGCCCTTTCCCTCTCTTTTCTGTTTGACTTTGTCATATATGTAATTCTTGAAGCAGCGTTATCCTCCTGCGTGGACAACGAAGTGAAGGTCCAGGTAGGTTGCAGGCTTTTCTGGATAGTTCGAAAGCTAGTATGGCTATGTTAGGCGTGCGTTTTGCACTTTCAAAATGTGAAATGTTGCTACAAGATTGGGCTAGCCCAGCCCCCAACCTCACTCTCACTGGGGAAGTAGTAGAGAAAGTAGATGGCAGTTATATCTCATCTGGCGGACGGATCACAGATGAAGTGTCGGCGCTTATATCGAAGGTCTGGTTGGCGTCTCCCAACTTGAAACATCTGTGGCACGTCCGATATCCTGCTGTCCGTGCTGGATCGAGTGTATGCTGCAGCAGTTCAGCCAGTGCTGCTTTACGGTGCCGAGACTTGGCCATTACGGGAACAGGATAAAAGTACATTGCCGGCATTCGAACACCGCTGTCTAAGTCGCATTGCACTAGTCTGGTGGGGTAATCGGACGAGCATTGCTGAGGTAAACCGCATTGTTTTAGGTAATCGCGGTCGTCCACTGGAGCAAGTAGTCGACCTTCATACATTATGCTGGTTGGGACTTGTTACTTCGTTACCAGATAGGCTACCACAGCTAGCGATGTTTACCCAGGCAGGCAGCGGTTGGAAAAATGGTCAAGGCCCTTCAGACGAAGATCCGACATGAGGGTCTGAAAACCCTAACCAGGAGACTGGGTCAAATAGGTCTCGTTAGGCTCCTTGTGGTATTGAACCGGACGACAGCAGAGCTGCCTACCACCAAAGTAGGGTGTCGGTGGCCGGGTTCGAACTTTGGACAATGGGGTCCAAAGCACGCCGATGACAGCGACTAAACCACTACAGCTATAGACTTTTTCTACACACATCTGGTCCACATAAATCCTGTGTCTGTATTGCGTTTATGCTATTTATTGTAACTTCTTCCAACTACTGCTTCTTGTCTCTGGTAGACCAAATGGATATCTCAAAGTCAGAAACCGAAACCGTAGCTCTACAATGTAAGGCTAACGGTTGTAGACACTAAACTCCCACCTACTCCTTTTATTTGGTGTTTGACTGTAAGGGTATTTATGAATTTTTCCAGTGAACTTTAGAATCAGTGAGTTTCTCGACACGACCGGGCGTTCAGTCATATGTTGCTCCTTTGATTTCTCTCATGGCTGTTGTGACCCAAATGGAACAAACAATAACCAGGACTCGCGTGTTTGAAAATGCGCCTGAGTACCTGTAAGATATAATATCAATGGAACCCACTCAGCGAAACACGCAGCGAACTAGGCTACTCGAGACTGACTTGAAGCAGAAGGAAAACAGGGCTTCATGCAAGGTTGTGTATCTGACCTAATCCAGAAGCAGTTGAAAAAACTATCTTAATTGTTTGTGTACATTTTTCGAATTGCTCNGTTTGGCTTGCTGGTTTAAATCAATTCGTAACCCGAAATGTTGAACAAAAGCAACAACCGATTCAAGGGCACCTCCGTTGTTTATCACTACGATGATGGGGATAACTTATTCTGAACAGCATAACCCCGCAATACACATGTTACACGTTTCAGAGGCATAGTCTATCTTAGAAGCCACCACTTAAAGTTACCCACTTGTCCTTCTGGTGCCAGCCCAACTGGGGGTTTCTCGGGACTTTTAGTCAGACAAGTATATCCGAGTGACAAGACCTGTAGTTTCCTTAAACTTACCTCCCTCCCCCGGAACGCAGTGACACATTGACAGATTTACTACCCTGTTCCCATAGTTTTCTTGTACCCTATTTGAATACCTTGTCGAATTATATTTTTATGGTAATCCGATTGCGAAATCTTTTCATTTTTTCCGGTAACCACCGTGTAGAAAAGGATTGCTGTGGTTTTCTGACTGAGGAAACTGGATAATAAAATCGAGTATCCGTATACTTTGCGCGCATTGTGCTTATGTTCATATCTGAGCCGTTTCGAACAAACCACCCAACATGTATTCTTAACACTTGCTCGATCGCTGTCACCTTAGTCATGAATTGCTTTGGCCACTAAGCAGTGAGCTCATAATTGTTGGAAATTACGGAACCATGTGACGTAAATCTACTTTTTACGCCTCGGTACGTGATGTTGTCGCGGTCGCTCTGTCGCACGCACGCGCGCGCATACGTACACAATGTGACTAACCAAATCTCAATATCCTGGTCCGATTTTCGTGCTCGGGATCTCTGTTATTATCGACTCGAGATAGCTCCGGTACCGTAGGCTAACAATAAGACATTCGCCAGCGTTTTATACCCACCCCCTTGCTCTCCGACCGACCGCCACTCGTCCATTGTGCCATAAAGCTTGCCTATCGATTGGTCTACCGGAAGTGAGCCACTCCGACACAGCAACAACAACAACAACAACTGCGACCACGATGGTGATGACGATGGCGCTGGCTCACCGTTTTTCTCTCGTGCTGGAACGCGAACGTGTGTGCGCGCGTGCATGCGATTGTGCGAACACATGTGGATCGAGAACCACACATACGCACGTAGAGAATAGTGAACACGCGGTCTACACGCGTTCGGCGCAATTGTCCCGAACGTGCATACCTCGTGTATGTAAGCAATGGTTCGGTCAGTATGTTGTCTGCTGCCGCCCGCCCTTGTACGCGTGCAGCATTTGGTGCGGTCCACTCAGTACACGCGAATGTGTTTGTCTATCAGTTCAACTTTTATGCGCACATCGTCCTTAAAATCGATCGGAATCGATCGTACACCCTGTTACCGTTCTGTCTACCCATTCGTTCTACGAGCGTGTTTCTGTGTTTGTGTGAGTCTGTCTGTCTGTGTATCTAATGCGTTTTACTGCACGTGCCGCTTATTGCGCACTTACATGGGTGGCTGACGCACACTTTGGCGCTCATGCTTGGTCACGCCAAGGTCCCCCTCCACAGTCGTGAAACTCTAAATTCGTGCCTGTGTGCGTGCGCAAGCTCTGGGTGCGGCAATGCAATTGTTTTCAACCATCGCACCGTACACATTCATTCATTCGCGTGGTCCTGTGAACCGACCGACCGACCGACCAAACGAGTGAATTGCTACACGCGCGTGCACACACTGACGACGATTGTGAGTGTACCTCACGGGCCACGTGCACATCGCAATCCCGTTGCACTAGTCCCGATCTGTGGTCCACGCGCTGCATGTATAGTTCGAGCAGGCTAATGCACGCACACACGCATCGAGCCGCAGCACTCACCGTAGTTAGAATCGGTGCTTTCATGTTGATCCAGCTTCCTGACTGGTTATAGGCGCTACGTGAGAACCACGTACGAGAGAGAGACCTGGACAACACGTTTGAACATGGGTTGCTACCGTTAAGGGGTCGTGTTTGGTGCCCGATTGCATCAGGATCGAACTCAGTTATAGAAAAAGTCTGGAACTTGGACCGGTTGTCAGTTACCCAGTTTTTCTTCCATTTGATCAACTCAGGCCCTCTGTTTCCAATCCAATTCACTTTTCTTTCCCGCTTCGTGTGCTGCGAAAGGTTCGTATTGCAGTCATCGGTTTCAGTCATTTCACCTGCTTGTGTTCATTCTCACAATCACGAATAACACAGTCACTGCTCCTTTAGAACAACCAGATTCGTCCCCTCAGCTGTAGTGGTCACTGTTAGCAAGAGTGTTCAGAAATAACACAACACAAAACAAACGGACAGGTTTTCCGCACACATTGTTTCTTCTTCGGAGTTGTAACTTTCTGAGACTCATATCTCTGCCTCCTCGTTAAATTGGTAATTCCCTTATCCTCACCGGTTTTGATGTCAGTCTCGTTTCCCCCACATTCATTGATTTACATTTTACTCACACCGAACTGTAACGCTATTCTCTTCACAGACACTCCACGCTTGCGCTAAGATAAATGTCGATGCGTCTGTCATATTTTAAAGGCCCTGGTCGGTATCTTAGTTTTACTACTGCATATACAATAAGTAATTAAAAGGTACTCATCTGTACTAACGATAGATGGTTCAGTTGAAACCACTAATGGTAAAACTGATATTTAAACTTGGACCTTTTAGAATGTGACTGTAGATATCGATGCACCGCTATGTTGTGTATATAAGTGCATCGTTCGAACCCACAGACTACTTGACAGTGGGTTGACGGTATATACTGTCTTTTAATTCAATAACGTTTCTGAGACATTTGCGGATTACTAAATGCCCTCAGACCGTATGCTCCCTTATGCTCTCGATAGTGCATCTTACCTTGTTCCATATGTCTTGGTTTTTATACACTAGCTTGCAAACAATCCAGATGTGATGGCCAGTCGTCAGTGGAAATACTACACGGAAACAAACGAGTGGACCCGAGCCACATGTGCCCTAATGGCTTGTCTGTTTACTCGGGATCAGATGGCCAACTCAACAGTACTCGGTCGCGGCGGATCACAGCGTGCGCGCTTGCCAAGCAATCTGGTCGCCTATGTAGTCGGTAGGTACTGGTGAAATTCTGTTCCTCTTCCTGGGTTCTGCCCGGTTCTCATCATAATTCGCATTTTTTACACACAACGAAACACGATTCATGGTGTCGGTTCGTCCATGACTCATCTCTGTCTCTGTGTTTTCCCAAGAATTCTCACTTCACTGTTTGTCACCATTGGAAGGTCTTAGTGAACATTTTTTACTCTCTCTAATGTGCAACGCGCAACCACGAGAATCTACAGTTCCAGAAATCTAAGCCCCGGAATTCACTTTAACAAACCGCTTTGAGATCCAAATGTGTTCGGCGGGGTATTGTTCCGTGCAAGAGCAACGCTCTGGAGCACCAAAGTCATATGGCAGGTTTCAGATTTGAAGTACCGTCGCTGTTAATGGTTACCTAAACGTTATTTTTTCATGACCAACTCCGGCCACAGAAAATGAATTTGCTGTCAATGCACGACCGTTGGTGCCCAGGTTCGCGTACTTGGTGATCCCGCCGCAGCCCCAATACCCGGGATTTGTACACCCCGTGTAGGCCAAGTTGTCCGAATTCACCATGCATGCTCACGTTTTAAGCTGTCTCTCCGAGATCCAGGACCCAGCCACCCGAATACGGTAGAAAGTGGCTAACTCCATAACATTCAGCATTTGCCCAATCAAATGTGCCCTGCGAGGTAACATCAATATCCTGTTGAAACGCTTTTAATCGTCTCACCCACCGTCAGCCTGGTTTAGCCCACTAGTCGAGCGGTTTGACAATGCATAGCCTCTGTTCATTGGAACGCATCTGCTCGAATCCACAGGTAAAACTGAGTCATAGGTAAAGATCGAATACTAAAGGAATATCCATCGGGTGATAGTTCTCACATGCATGGTGAATTTTTTTATTTAGATTCTATTTGAAGATCTATCATATATTTAGTTGTGTTGCTTGATTCACCCACATTACCAAACACATCCGAAACTGTTCTCCATCCATTGCATAAATGGTTTGTGTGCGGTTTCCTCTTTCTCAACCCACCGTTAGCAATAAGCCCAGGCAGGAAGAAAATACCGTCAGGATCAATTTATTCTAGAGTGGCATCATTTACTGAAAGGAAACTGTTGTAATTACAGTCAGTTCAACAAGTATTGTCTGCCCTAGACCTGCATGGATCCTTTATAACGAAGGATTTTTGGCTCTGACTGCGAGTTCTACATGTGTGTGTGTGAGAGAGAAATCAACCGTTCCAGCGTTTGTTGCTGCTGAAACGCTCCCTGCCAATTTCATCTTCGACACGGTTCGTTCAATGGGCCATGCAACAAATTACTCGGTACCGGTTTGTGAATCAGTAAGAGAACAGATCGGGGCTTCTCTATTACTTTAGCAAACCACATGCTGTTTTCAAGATCATCATTCGAACAGTCACTGACCGGTGTTAACTACTGTCGGATAAGAAGGATCAGTTTTATCCTTTCCCAGTTATCATATCAGTCATAAAGATGCGGATATCTCAAACTCTCGGGATGGTCCTCAGTCGATACGAACTGAACACCAAGTGTAAACTTGGGAGTAGTGACCAGTTTATGGATAAGAGATCCTATCCAATGCTATCTTATACTTCAAGGATCTGCTGGCTCGTTAAATTCTCTGTGTACTCGGACTCGAGCCCCACCCCTCTCACTCAGTTCTTTCGTAGTACCTTGTTAGTCAGTGTAATTTAAGAAAGGGACCATTTTTTATCGAAATCTCTCAAGAAATTTGCTCTCTAGTAACTCAATTTCTGCTTGATGGAACAGAATGATTCACAACTTTCGTCCTTTGATTAACAATTACTACTAGTTAATTGTGTTTCTGTCATTTATCTGACCACCCATGGAGTTCACTTTATTATATACCAATCACTTCGATTGGAGGACTGTCTGCGTGACAAAAATGATCTCACGTGTTGTATTGCTTACTTACCATCTTGAACTCACACTAAAACAATGAAAATGAGGTGCCCATCTTGCATGAAATACTTCGGTACTATCTACATATGTTTAGCCTGGATGAATACAGCATGTCTCCGTCTGTATGTGTGTGTGTGTTCGCGTCGTTCAGAAGTGCTGATATTCACACGCGACTCTATACGTACCAACCGAGTGAGACCACCAGCGGGTTTGAAAAGAGATCATTAAAGTAAACACTTGTTCATTAGAACAAATTTCGTTTACTTACCACAATATCTTTCTCTCCATCGTCAAGGAAACTGTACTCTCGCTTTTTGTTCTACCCAGGTCGAACTCGACTCAGATTCCATA